CAGCTAGAGCAGTTTGCTCAAGATGAGTGAGCCAGAGCTACATAAATTGTGTGTTTTCAGTGACTGCATCTAAAGACTGTATACCAAAATATTTTTGTCCATGCCATTGTCATTTGTGTTATTATTTGTCATTTGTGTTATTTTGTATTCAGTTAAATCAAATATTTAAAAGTAAAAGTCTGATGTTATTAAATATGGAATGCACAATAATGGATGTCAATTACTTTGGTCATTTTCAAGTTATTTCAGAGACAATTGTTGGGGATTTTTTTTTTCTTTGGAAGGGTACCAGCAAATTTGCCCATGTCTGTATATGTGTTCATGAATTCATACAGATGTTGGTAAATTTAGCCTGGTATTTTTTTATTTTCATGCTGGCATGATCGGTTTGCATATCTGGGCATGGAGCTCGGAGTTACAGAATGCCATTCCAATGTCTGTATGTCCCATAGTCTGCTTTGCCACCAAGCCTCCCACCCAGTCTTAAACGTACACAAAATGATACCGCCTGTTCTTCCCCAATGCAAGAAGTTCAATAGAAGAAAAATGCACCTGCATCACATATTTTTTCTCTCCACCTTCCAAAAACTTTATTGCCACTTGAATTACATACACAGCCATCTAAAGCAACACAGCAGGGCTGGGCGGGATGTTTAACAGGAGAAAGTTGCACCTCTGTCACATCATTTTTTTTTCTCTCACTTGAGAAATGTTATTGCCCCTTGCATAGCCAGCTAAAGCACACTGCTCCCCGACTCTAAGGGCGGAGGTGTGGGTTTCTTCTACTGAACTTCCCACCTAGCCATGCTGTGTTGACTGACAAGGGTTCCCTGCAGGAGTCACACTGTCAAAACTGCAGCTGCTTCTGGAACTCAGCATACCCAGACGAGCTGGCAGTGCAAACCAATAAACCCCCACTTTAGGGCTGCAACTAAGGATTATTTTCATAATCGATTAGTTAGACGATTATGCAGGAACAGCCATGGTTGGCTGTAGGCAGGAGAAGTCTGTGCACAGGGCAACAAAGCACATACAACAAACTTTTGTATTTAAGCTTGAGCTTGAGGAGTGAGACTGCTTAATTTCTGTTGATGACATTTGGCAAAATAAATAGTACTTGGGGACTTAAGTGGTTGACTTGAGTGGTTAAAGAGAAATTTAGAATATAAAAATGGATATGAATTATTTTTTACAGATATAGAATTGGTAAAGAAGACTTTTTAACAAACATTGGTATATCCCAAAGTGATGAGCAGTTAGGAAGGGTACTCCCTAAAAAAAATAAAAACATATCTATAAAAGAGCTCTTGCCCTGGAAAGTATTTAGTTTCTAGTTTTATCACAAAGATTTTTTTTTTTTTTACAGTAAAGTAGCAGTAAAAATAAAAAAGGTATCATATTTTCTGCTTAGAATTAATGAAGGTAAAACCTGCCACTAAAGTTGTCCCTGTTGTAGGATATTATGGTTGTGATACAGCTAATAATGTCACCTATTAAAATGTCCTTGTGGGGCAACAATATATTGGTAGAACCAGTAGGAAAATTGAAAACAAGGATTGCTGAACACATCAGAAATATAAAAAATTAAGTTAAAATACATAATCTAACTGAACATCAAGATAAAACACAATAAAGATCCCTCCAATTTAAAAATATGTGGTATAGAAAAAGTAACAACATGCTAGATAGGTGGCGACATAACAACTCTCTCATGTAAAGAAACACAGGAATCACAAAATGCAGCCATTGAGACTGGCAGGTGAATTATTTTTGTATGCCCTTGCATTGGAGTCTGCAGTTTGTTCATCCATAGTTAGAAATACTGTCACTCAGTTAAATATTGGCTATATCTGCATAGTCTATGTTATACTTTATTATGGGTGAAAGTGTAATATTGTTTAGATTTAGTAACTTTATTATCAATTGCAGTAAAGGTGGGTATAAAGTAAATAAAGAGGATATATGCGGTTTTGGAAGGCAAATGGTGATTGAATATACTAATATCCCATAGATCAAGCAAGGGTTAATGATTGGAAGAAGAACGACTCAAGAGAGATATAGAGGAAGAGGTTAGTACCTAGTCTAATATTCCTTGAAGAAATGGGTAATGATGAATCCTGGGTTGAAGTTTGTACACAAAGTGTATTATGGGTTTTACAATACAACATTTTTAAGATATTGTAATTTAAATTAATTGATTTTATGGATAATTGGCGGTCTGCACTATTTTGTTTGCACTTGCAACCTTGCAGAGCCTAAAAGCCTACAAGGTTTTGGAGAAAGAGCTAAATGCTCGTAGGTGCCCTGGGATTGGGTCACATGAGAGCCGAGACTGTCAGATGATCAAGCCAGGAGAAGGTCATGAGATATTGCCACATGAGTAGGCACTATTCGAGAATAGCAGACTTCCTTTCCTATAGGAACTGAGTGAAGTAAGGCAAGTATCATCTTACTCTATAATACAATGTATACAGCGAAGGGACAGCTGTAAGGAGTATATTGTATATGCAGCAGTTTATTTTGACTTGAGTGCAGGAGCAACTGCAGACAGAGGGGTGGTGGTATTATTTTATTTCAATTGAGAAGTGTCTTGATACAGTGGTGGTCAGCGGTGAAGTACATGGTTACAATGGCAGTCTTATATGTGGGTGCAGTGTTTTTTTGTTTACTGCAAAAGTTGTCCTTACTGCAGAAGAAGGAACCACTGTTGTTTGGAAACATCGCTATATGATGTGATGGCAATCGAGTCAATAAACCATTTTTGACTTGAAATTCTATTGGACTTTGTACATACACTTCTATTTAAAGTGGACCTTGCAGTAAAAAACATTATCACCACCACCCCCATCATAAAAAGTAACTTTAAAATAAAATACAAAAAAAACACATGTAGGGAGAAACATTATTTAACATACTTGCCTTACCCCCTGCTTTCACACGTAGCACCTAGACATGACAATGTTGATAATCCAAAATCCCATTAGGAGATGCTCCTGTCCTGTATTGAAGCATCTTTTTGTGAGATTTGGGATACTCTGTGTTTTCATTGATCTCAACAGAAGGATGGTGACTTCACACTCTGCAAAATGGAAGCTGGGTATATGGTACATACAGTATACAGTAAGTACTAACCACACACACACACACACACACACACACACACACACACGTGGAACTTGTTTTATACTGCAAGGCCCACTTTAATATCCATATAGGATTTTGAATTGAGTATACCATTATTTAATTAACTACTTTCTATATACAAAATAGTTTGTAGTTCTATATTCAAGACTATGCTATATTTGTACTATACACCAGTAGCTTTCGAAATGCATCTGACTGAAGGGGCAAAAAGCAATGATTTTCATGACTCCGCCCACTGTCCTGTAATGAGGAATAATCCTCTTATTTTTGGGATATGTGGTAGAATGAGACATGGAAATACCTTCCTCTTTAAGAAGGTTCTACTGTGCTACTAACTAAAGTTCCATTTAAAAAACAAAATATTGTGTTCCATAGACTGGTCTGGTTGTTAGAAATGATGTCCCACAAGTATGCAGCAATCATCTTCCTTATGTTATTTATTGGTGTGCCTATGTAGATTCATTATGTTTGTAATTTCTGTCCTATTTCATCAATGTAACATCTCTGGTTGCATTGAATAGGGTACACCACATTATTGGAGATGCAGCTTTATGATTAAGAAATATTGAAGGTTCCTTTTGTGTGTGTGACACTTTTATTGGATTGATGTGAATCTGATGAGTTTGCAGCATTTATCATTGCAAGGCTTTGTTCCCTTGTTTGTGTCCCAGTTTTCTGCTAATTCATGTCTGAGAATGGGGGGCACTTCCAACTCCTCCACAGCCGCATCAGCTTTGCTCCCCCCCCCCATTCTCCTTCACACTGGGAGACCGCTGCATGCTGTGGTTTGTGTCCCCTTCGATCCCCGCTGCTCTCCCTACCTGCATCAGCAGGGGCAGCAGAGATCGGAGGAGACAGAGACCGCTGGAGCCAGGGCTGGTAGGGAGGAGAGACAGCTGTGAGTCTGCATTCCTCCTCCCCCCTGCTGTGCCGTGCTGAAACATTTCTCAGCACACTCTCCAGCTATTCATAGCTTTATCCATCTACCAAATTGGGAGCTTTGATAATTTTAAGCTAGGGACCACACTTTGCAGAGGATACTTGACATGGCAGGATGGCTTCACATGTATTTACAAATGAAGGCAACAAAAAACTTTGTTTTTCATTTAAAACGTTCAAACAGTTTAAATAGGCTTTTGTGGCGACTAGCTGGACATTGTGCTGATTTTTTTTTCATTATTATAAAAAAGGAGAATTATTGGGTGAGTGAAAAACACTCATCCACATAATTCAAGCTGACCTGTGACACTGAAGCTGTCACAGGTCGGCTCTATTGATTGGGAAGTCAGCAAACACACACCAGCGATTGCCAACTTCCTGATCCTCTCACTGCAGAGAGCGGTGACTGTCAGTCACCACTCCTCACAGGGATTTCCCCTCTCAGTTTCTCTAGTGCTGACTGGAGGAACAAACTGGAGAGGGGGGCTGTCAATCAGCCAGAGGGGTGGATCAGTACTAGCAATAGCCTGCTATATACTGACTTTTGGGTCACCGCAGGACATTAGTATATTTCCTCCTGTAGCCCTGAAGAGAACTATGGTCAAAAAGGGTTAAGCCATAGTAAATGCACATATATGGGAGTTACGTCATTCTGGCCAATCAAGATGGGTGAAGATCCCGCACCAAGAGACCAGTCAAAAATCTCACCAACAGGGAGCCCCATGTCACAGAGAAAACAGATAGTATCTTAATTATAGCAACCAGTACAAATTTAGCTTTCAGAAGCTTTGCATGGCCAGACCAAAAAACGGCATACAAATTAAACACACACGTGTACTCAAGTGATGTATATTGGGACAGATCTTTATTTTTCATTTTTGTGTGTTTTTTATGTGTAAAACATAATTAACACCAACCTGTTCAAGCTCTTGTATTTGGCTGTCTTTCATCTGTAGAATTTCCAGCACTTTTCTGTCTTTGGCCTCTGCCTTACTTTTTTCTCTGGAACAAGACATAAAAAGATATATATTACACATTATTAGAACTAATTTGTACTTAATCATTTGAATTTCCTAAATCTTAGTGATAAATGTAATTTTAAAAAGCCGAGAATAAAATTATCCGTGACCGACAGCCCCAATAGAATTAATCAGCATGCATATGGCAAATGACAGCAAATTATCCCTACTGGCAATTATGACAACTTTATTTCCTTGCATGTGGAAAAGCTTTGCAGCCATGAAACCATACCAAGATTACAATCTTCACCTATGCATAAAGAAAGCAGTGATATCCTTGATTGCGATGTATTCATGAGAACAGAACCATCCAGTTCTAGCTAGTAATTTATTCTAGAGATGTTAAAAAAGTAAAAGCTAACATGTAATTGATTCCTAGAGCCTGCATATGTGGAACAGTGATCAGTTCAACCACAGAGTTATGCATTTCCTTCAATATCAACTGCAATTCTAAAGCAGCTAGAAAATACACACAATAATGTAATGGAAAATTGGTTATGTGATCTTGCAGCAACAGTAACTTGCATTCAGTTATGTGATATTAACCAGCAAAATCAAATCATCAACACGGTAAGCTAGGCATGAGCCTAGGGCCAGAGTAAGGTCTATGGGGCCAAGCTACAAAATCCCTGTTCTACAGTAAACAAGAGGGATAGTGGAGCACTTGGGGTCTGATGATGTGGGCCATGCCAGCACAGACAATGCAAATGGGCCAGCTTCTCTGTGCCCACAGAATTCCTTACCAATGTCAGTCAAAGGGATGGGGGACCAAAGCTGCTATGGCCCCTAAGGCCCCGTTTTTTCTTAATCTGTCTTCGACTGGGTACAATGTTCCAGTCAAGAAAAGTTAAAATGATATTAACAAGGTTTAGGGAAATCTTGATGTCCTAAAAAATGTCAAACCCCTTGAGAAGCACACTTTAGATTCGATGTATAAATATCAGGGATGCCCCGATATATAAATCGGCCGAAAATGGCACTATTGGTAAAATGCTGAAAGTGCCAATTTTCTGCCGAAATAGCGGGGCATCTCTTCTCTCCCTCCTCCCCGCTGAGCACGGCTCTGTGAACCAGTAAGGAGGAGAGAAACCGTCACAGGAGGCCGAGCGCTGCGGGAGGAGAGAGCTGTGAGCAGCCAGCGTCTCTCTTCCCTGCACCACTCAGCCTGCTGTCACAGAACAGGAGAGTGGCAATGTTGACGGAGACCACCAGCGCTGTCACAGGAAGCCGGCCGGCGGTGCAGGGTAGGGGTCAGATGTCAGATTGAGATATCCTCCCCGCACTGCTCGCTCAGCCTCTTGTGACAGCGTGTCAGGAAGGAGAACGAGTACACACAGCGATCAGTGATCGCTGAGTGTTTTTAAATAATTGAAGACAGAGTCTGTTTACTCTGTCCTCAATTGTGAATGAATGGGAAATTATCTACATCACTTCCTGTGCATTCATGATTGTGGATGTGTTATAAATGAACAGGAACACTCAGAACAGAGGCTTCCTGTTCATTTATAACAGGGGATGCAGAAAAAGAGATTGAGAACACAAAGTCCTCAATCTCTTTTTCTATTTTAAAAGGGAAATATCAGGGGTCTGTTTAGATCCCTAATATTTCCCCAAAGCAAAAAATAAAAATATTTAATAAAAAATAAATATAAAATATTTTTAAAGATTTGAAAAAGACAGAAAAAAAATTTTGGTTTCGGCCCGACATTTTTTTTTTTCATTTCAGTTTTGTTTTTAAAATTTTCATTTCGGTGCACCTCTAATAAATATAAAGTTAAATGCAAAATTCCTTAATGTCAGCAGCAAACAAGTTCCAAATGTAATTTTTAACACTCTAAACTTGAAAATAAATACATGAATGACTAGTTTGCATGAGAAAAATAGGTTAACCTTTCCAATAATCATTTAATTTTGTCATGTATATTCTGAAAAACCGTTAACACAAAGCTGGCCATTTAAGAAAGTGTTGGGTTTATGCTGTGTAAAAAGTTTATAAAGTAAATACATAGTGTCTAGATTATTTTTAACAAAGTTACATGTTTCCAACCACACAGTAAAAAAAAAAAAAAAATAGACTTTTATTATGTCTTAAATACACATTGTCCTTAAGAGAACCACATAGTTCTAAACATGGACAAAATCCTATTGTACAAGTCTTCTAGCATATCATACTACGACAGAATAGCACACCACACATTAGGTATTGCTGGCGTCAGCTTGTGAGTTTTGTATGGGCAGTAGCACAGCTGGTGACATCTGCACAACAGACAACAAAGGTGTAAAGGCTTGCAGCTCAGAGTATGTTCCCTAGAGCTTGTAGTATACACTGTCATTAATCCATTGACAGCATGACTGCACAGTATTGAATATTAAACCATTTGTGATCTGTGCAGGGCCTGCATGCACTACAATATTAACACTTTCCTTGCCAGCCCACTAGCTTATATTTTTCTGCAAGCCAAAGTCTACATTACAAAGCAGTATAGCATTTTTACCAAAACAGTACACCCAATGATCTATGTTAACCTATGGACTTGCAATGCAGTTCATGTGCTGAAAAACATTTGGAACATTTGGAAAGTGGGCTATCAACTTAAAAAGGTAAACAAGCAAAGTCCCATGAGTGACTCCATAACATATTCATAAATGCACCAAACCATACAGAAAAATCTTAAATCATAAAAATAATTATTGGGGAAAAAATGGATGCTATCACTTCCTAGTAACAAAGAAGTCTAAGCCGCCTTCTGCAAAAAGAGGCAATGTACCATGCAGCCAAAGGTTTCAAAAAAGTATATTTCTGCTGTTTTACTCATAATCACTGACACATTCTAACTTCCTTCTGATGGATTGTGCATGTATTTCTGTATTGTAAACAAACAAATAAATTGACCAAAGTGATAATGGGATGCGTTTTTTTAGGCCTGTTACTTGTGAAACTATTGAGAGTGTTACTTTTAAAGCTAGCACACTGCACGCGAAGCAGCGCACAGCGGTGGTGGGAGAGCCTTCGCCTGCAGTGTGTCATATCATTTTCACTGCGACGCGTCAGCTTGCGAGAGCTCTCATAGCTAAGCGTGCCAAATTGAAAAATGTCATATTCAGCCAATCAGCCCGCGCGTATAAACCCGTGCATCAGGATGTGAAGTCCATTCGGTTCGCGAGCAGATTGGCTGAAGATGCAGTCTTTAATCTGGCCGCGTTCAGCTCACACACTGCATGCAAACGTCCGTGCCTTACTGCTTTGCTGTACTCTGGACAGCTTGGCATGCAGTATGTTGCAGGCTTTAGAACGAGCAATCCAAACATGGCTTCAGTTTCCCAATAATCATCTGGAAGCCAGAAGGCTGCCAAGTCTGCTAATGACCAAAACATGCTGGGGAACTTTTTATATTTGTCTTTGGAATATATATTTTTTTCCTCATTTAAACCTTTACATGTTGTGCTTTCCTGTGGAGTTACTCATGAGACTGTGCATGGTTTACATTTAGATCTTAGGTCCAATTTAGGCAGCTGTGGCCAACGCATCTATTAAAACACTTATTTCATACTGCACCCTCTAGCATTGACATTGATACATCTGGTGGTGTTCGCTTGGTGGGTCCAAATGTTTTTCTCTAGTTTTCCTTTACAATCTCCCTCCATAGCATTGTCTATTGCATCATACTTTTCCCTCTTCTATTCCCAAAATTATTTACCTTTATGTATTACATTTTCCCACTCTCTACTTAAATCAACCATTCCAATGTAAACAAATTATACTTCACCATTCTTTATAATTATATACATACTTTTTTTTTTTTTATGAAATGCAATGTATAACCATTGGGAACATCGGAACACAACTATTTATGCTCTTTGCAATATGCCAGCAAAATGCCTAACAAAAACACAAATAGTAGGAAGTTGCAACAATCAGCATATGCTGTAGGTTTGCAAACATACATTTTTTTGTGAATGCGCATAAACAATATCAGCTGTAAACATCAACCCCAAAAAAATGCCCTTGGGAAAAATAACCAATCCTTTCAAACCCAAATTACAAATGTGTTAATGTACATACATGATCAGAAAATTAGCATACTTCTAACCTGTAAGTATAAACAGGCTGTCTGGAACAATCGTTCACAAATCAAAAGGAGATATCCACTAACACTGGGCATCCTATTTATTCATAATCCCTGCAAACAACAACACGGAGAGGTCCCTTCTGTCAGTAGGGTCTAGGGGTTTCCAGGACAGAGGACTGCAATTACAGTTTTTACCAGTAGCTACACTTATTGGTCAAAATTGATATTGTGGCACCACCACAAAATATTGCAGCCTTTTTTGAAATTACAGCGTTCTCCAAATAAACACAGGGATTTCCACTTTTATTGGAAAGTCCCTTCCTTCCACTGCAGAAATCAGACTTGGAGAAGCGTCACAGTACCAACATGGGAATTCCAAATTTGTATGCCACGCCAGCATTCCTTAACTTGTTTTTTTTATGTTACTTCTTTATAATATTGCCTTTAACTTTCTGCAGCACATTAGAAGAGAATCATTTTCAGATTATTAGTATAATGAAAAAGCATTTTTAAATACATGCCTATGTTCTACCATTGTCCAGCTGGTAAAATATGAATTAAATATGAAAGCAGTTTTACCAACAAATCTGCAAATTAAAATGATATAAGGTATTCATTCACAGAACACAGTTTTCCCATAAGATGTACTCATGGATGAGCTCTGTGGCTTTTACTAATTTCCTTTACATGGATTGATAGTACACATATTTAAATTAGCAATGTTTGCAGAAAATGATTTCTGTAGAGATTATAATATATTTAACTACTTTATTTTTCTTAACTTGTTATAATTAGACCTGGAATATCAGACGCAGGCATAGTTTTAAACTACAGGCTTACATCTATTTTGATGTTGTAGTCACTATAGTATCATCTAAGACATACTGTCAAAGATGATGATTGTGTCAAGAAG